GCGTGGTATAAGAGCAACCTCATTCTCATGGGTACGATCGTACCGCGCCGTGTTGGTTCTTACCATGCCTTGCGCGATGTAAGTAGTAAAGGAACGCGCACGCAGCCCATGGAGTGGAGGTTGGGTATAAGAACTGAAGCAGCACTCCCAGAATTACCATGCAACCTACGCGGGAGTCACTGAATCGGCAAGTGAAAAGTCGAGGCTCTGCATGCCTATGGCGGCAGCGTGCAAAGAGCGAATGGGAACCGAACATACGGTACGTGAGGTAGCTTTGGTCAAGGCGTTCGTCATTAGCCGCACCGTACACGCTAGCTACCGATAGCTAAGCAGCAACTTTACTGGTCCTGATTCAACTGACTTAATACATGTCACGCTGGCTGCGTGAGGCCGCTGTGAGACTTGATCTTCCACTGCGTGCGAACGCACAATGTACATGTACATAGCAAATATACAAGAACTTGCCGATGTGGTGTGGCGGCAAATGATGAACGCCTTCACCAAGGCTAATTCGCCGGCGGGGAACCGGCAAGTACAGCAACTCGCCGTCGGCATTGTTTCAAATCATGTTCGTTACAGTACTTTTACAAAAGCAAAGCTTAAAGGGTGATAACCTTCATTTTCATAGTGTCGAGCATCTTATTACAATTTCATTTAGCGATCAAAATAAGGTAGGCTATATGCGTCTACATACTTAATAAGAGTCATCCCGTCCAGGGTAATTACTTTGCGACGACGTTTTCCCCACACAGTTTCACTTCCTTCCATAAGCATCTCCCGCAGTGGCGTAAATTTGTGCCAAAAAGTGGGGGGACGGGGTGTGGAGAAAAGCAGGGGAAGGGGTGACACACAATGACTCTATAGACATACAGATGTCGATGTTCGTGATATTGATGTATATCTGTAATGTGTATTCAAAATGGAATATTCATGGCTTTTAAAAATTGTTTTCCCTTTTTTTAGTGATATTGAATGCATCTGAGTCTTTGGAAGTCCGAAAAAATCTTCACAATCCACTTTATAGTTTTGCTCACCAAAAAAGTGGGGGGATGAATCTATACCACACCCACCCACCCCCCTCCCCCCAAAAAACGAACAAACTGGGAGGGTGTATACTCTCCCCTGTGTTCCCAACCGGGATTTACGTCCATGATCTACCTGTATTAACTAGGGTCCACAGATTATATTGTCCAAGTCACATGGGTGATTGAGCTATCACGAAAACATTCTAGAATCTTACACCTCTTCGTCGCCCTGTATTTGTCACGAAGGCATGTGGTAAACTTCTGCGCTATGCCTATGTCTGCTCATGATGTAGGCGAGTCTCACTGTGTGACAATCTTTCCCGAAATAATTATCATAAAGCTTCAGAAACACTCACGATGCCAGTGTTCCATCTATGTTTGTAAGTTAATATGCGTGTATATTCATATGTTCTTGAAAAAATCACATTTCTTAATAAATGTTCAGAAAAATATGTTCTCGAGAAATTAATGTGTGTCACTAATGTGTGGAATATGCCTTCAGGATCAACACGTACCTCCGGCAATTCAACAGGGAGCGTTCACGTATGTCTATCTTCTGTGGTAAGTATGGCAGTTTTCTCACAATTTGCCCTTGTTTCATTACAAAATGGATCAATAAGTTCAATAAAATCCTAGAATAAAGCCATTTCTTCTGAAGGAAACTATGGAACATTACATCGCAAAATAATCCGATATCTTTTTAAAAATAGATCGCAAACTACCAAAAACGTGTGCCATTTTATGAAACGATACAAGGTCAATTGCTCACTGTTTGTGGAATTGACCTCTGTAAAGACCAGGTAGAACTATTGAAAGTAATCATAGCTATCAAACTCTGGAAAAGACCTTGATACAATTTAAAATAATAACAGGCCGACTTTTCAAGGTAAACTGTCCTCATTTGAAAGATTTGGACCAAACAGACGTACCTTTTATTTCATCACCCTCCTGAACCTGTGGACAAAAGGCGCCACCATTCATGATGGTCAGGTCAGTTTTGGCTTACTGAACCGAATAGAAAACACGCTTCCTTTGTTAAACCTATTTGTAAGTGTCGGTATGGGTTAAAAGTAGAATAGCTCTTATCCATATCCTTCAACCTTTAGACGGACCAATGACAACTATGGCTCAAAACAAGACAAACAAAACCATACATAATAAGCAGAAATAATCATATTAGAAATTGTTTCAAAACTTATAAACATCAAATGATTACTTTAACAGACTGAGATTCAAAAAAGGACGAAAAAGGGAGAGTAACATTCAAGCAGAAGAATCATTAAGCTTTTATTGTACGTAAACAACGTGCTGTAAATTACGAAACAAATTACAATTTAGAAATATAAAAAGTTGTGTTTGGTGATAAATATGAAAAATCTACATTTTTGCATCACTTGGTAAACATGGGGATAAAATAATATCGAGAGGTCTATTCAGTCTGAAATATGTTTTACAACTAGAAAAACTGCCTCATATAATGAGCTTGGATTTGAGTGGTAGATGAACTTTCTGACAGTGGGTTCGCTAGCGCACGTTTGCTTTGCTTTGGGTAATAGATGACGCTTCTGACAGTGGGTTTGCTAGCTCAGGTTGCTAATCCCACGGTGCAGTCACTAGAATTGGCCAAAGTTGACTGATGCAGCAAACCTTGAGAGCCAAATTAGACAAATATAAAATGAATTATAATTTCTGGAAATTTGGACATTGTGGATTTGGTCCGGGACGGCTGTAGCAGGAATCATATGCTGAGTCAGCACATTTGGTTATTTGTTTTGTTGAGCAATGTGTGGGATTAGATGAGTTAACAGCCTATTTCAGAAGCACAAGGTCAACGTTTTCAGTATAAAGGGATTTTACATTGCACGAAACAAAACACGGCCTTTGCTTTCTCCCAGAGCGCACGAGGTCAAAAGAAATTAACAGGCTCCCTTACGACCATGGCCAATTACATATTTCTGTACTTCAGGGTACTATACACCACTTGTACTGTGCTGAATCGCAGGCTAATGTAGGCTGAATCGCGGGCTACCCTCGCATACATGTGAAGCGAGACAAGAGACGAAGAGCACCCCCCCTCAACACACACACACACACCTTTGTGTTGGTTATTGTTTATTCGGAACCTCGGGAAATCTTTTCAGATATGTAGGGGGATGTGTCAGGTAACAATAGTCTAGAGTGTGTATAGGGATTGGACATGCAGGGGGTATACCCCTCTGTCCCATATCTTGCGGGGTGTATATTGGCATTGGTTATTTTTGAGATGTTAGATGACGTTGAAATTTGTGCCCCTGTACATTTTAAAAGGCCACACAAGCTTTTGGCCTCCTCTTGCCATTTATGCGCATCGCACATCAATTAAAATTTATTAGTGAACTAATTAGAATAGGCTTAAGTATTAGTAATTTATTTTTGCTTATAATAGAGTCACAGCTTGGTTATAAGAAGTAACCGAATGTGGTCATCCGTTGGTTTGTCTTCACACAGTTGTTTGGTCGGATTTAGTCAATGTGTCAATGAGCACAGAAGCCAAAAGGAGTGAATTAGCATAACTCGCACTGTAACGTCATGCAGTCCAACCTACATGGATATTCTTTAGCCGACTCGATCACGACCAAACGGGCATGTTTTTCAGGCAGTGCTGTATGACTGGAGTCCAGGACGCGGACTCGAGTCAGTTTTTCCACTACTCGGACTCGACTCAAGTCACAGTGGATAATGATTCGGACTCGACCACGATGACTCGGACTTGAGCTGGTGACTGGAGTCATGTATTTTCATGAAACATAATATGTACCGTATACACCGTCAACAAATTATTTGTTACCACCAGTGCTATCACTGCTTTGTATATGTGGAGCGTCGTCGCGTTGCACGTTTTCCTTTTCGCCCATTTTTGCACGGTTAACTGGGTCGACCAGACGTGTCATATTCCGTATCCACAAACTGTACGGCGGTAATGAGACTGTGCGTTGGGCGCACATTTGTTATTTGCACGCGAGTACGCACTGATGTTCCCAAACAATCGTGGACGTTAAACAAAAGAATTAATGACCGTCCGCGATTCCCGGCACGTCCACGATTGCCAACTGTGTACAAAACATGATAGAGGTCTTCCAAAAAAGTTAAAGTATGAACAAAAGAGGACAATAGGAACGTCTGTGATTGCCCAAAAAACACGTTTACATGGGCGTACATATTCCGCCTCATGGTATCCATAACCAGTTACGAGAATGAATACTTTTGGCGAAATGGCCAGGCTCGTGTGCATATAATTAAACGCTTGGCCTACGCTGGGCATGACTGTAAAAGATTTTTAAACCCTCATCTTTGGCTCACGCATTCTCCCAAGTCCGTCTTAAATGTACTTTAAAACCGGCCCAGCACTTCATTCCCTAAATAAAGAAATAAACGAAGATACTGGAATTTAAAGTTCAAACGGTGGATGATTTGCTTAAGCAAAAAAGTCCTATAGCTTTTTCAATGAATGTAATTAATCAGCATAGACGAAACTGGTAGCCCACAACGGACTTACAACTTTGATCATGGATTTCCTCTATGGTTTGATACACTTAGAATAATTGGCTGAACAATTTGATTCATGACTTGTGACTCGTAACTCAGACTCGAGATTTGTGACTCGAGGCTTGAGACTCGGGACTCGAACTCGGACTCGACATTGATGACTCGATTAGAACACTGTTTTCAGGTATTCTAATGAGAGCACCAAGATTTTCACAATAATACTTCTCAGCATTGCTCAATTGATCGCAGCTCTTCGGACCCCTTGGCATAGAGGCAGCTATTTAGTCGTGATGTGATGCGGTCTGATACGGTGTGGTTGTCACAAACGGAAGTGATTTTAGCCCACACCTTGCGTGTCAAAACCAGAAAACAAAAAGCATGCTGTTTAAAAACTCAACAAAATAAGGCCAAGCAGTGGAAATGCATGCAATATAGATTGATTTAACTTACAGAGAGCTCCAGTGTGCCATACCATAGAGCCCCTGGTCCAGGTCAATTTGAGGAAGTAGTAGCACAGTTTTAGCTATATATTGACTCATATAATGGTGGGTGTGCTTGACAGTGTGCTTGGCCGGTAACTTGAGGTGGTCCTCAGGAAGTCTCGGCCTTCAGCGCTGTCTCGGCTAGCATCAGGTCACGTCACTGTACTCGAAGCAGGTCAAGCACTCCCCGCCGTGTCAATGTGGCACTCAGTGAATCCTGGCAATCTAAGCCCTATAATAGGTCTACTTCACAGAGGGAAACTAAACAAAAGAAATACCAAGGAGCTTAAATGCAACATATGTGAAGAAATTATGCAGATGCTAGATTTGCTATTCAAATTACATTCTTTCTACACTGACTAGCTGCATGCCAACAAGAACTACAAGTTAAAAATTAAAGTCTTACACAATAAAGAAAAAGCTTAAATAAAACAACTCAGAGTAGTAGGGGCCATTGACAGTGATCTGATGCGATCGCAAACGCACTCCTTTTCACAGTGCAAGTGAAAAAGAGGCTGGGAATCATGCATGAAACAGTATGCAGGTGTCGAGAACGTCAAAATGAAAAACGTCGGAAGTGTTGCGACAACCTGTCCACTGGTAACGGGTTGAAACCCGACACCGTAGTTCCACACAGTAAAAAAAAAATTATTCCTTGTTTGATTTTCGACATTGAATGTTGAACCACAGAGGAAGGACTCAGAAGGAGTTACAACTGGCGCATCGAAGTGCTCAGTGATCATCGCCGCCCATACAGACGAATAATAGAGCCTGACAGTTTATCCCTGATGGTGCGCTTCTGGAACCCTTAGATAGGAAAAATAACGAGCAAAGATTTTAAAATTTGTAATATTTTTCGTTGTTACTTCTTAAAAAATCCAACTCGGAAAAGGGGCTTTTGGAAAATATTTGCTAGTGTATCAATTTATAGAAACTGAAAAATCACCTGACCTGAAAGAGAAATATCCTGCCTAAAGGTTTCCCATCACTCCCGAGAATCTAAAATACGTGAAGAACAGTGCAATGCAGCAGTTTCGTGCACAGTTTGAAATTTTACGGTGGTCCGTCGGTAAAAACCGAAATAAAAACAGATCCAAATATTTTACTCAGGCTTACAATTTATAAGTAGTAAACCTATAGCAATATTCTACTTCAATTACGAAAGATTCTAATCATTTATCTAACCTTTGCTGACAACTATGTGATGTCAACTCAACGGAATCTGGGAACCCAATGACTGCAAGTAGGTAAATCTTTGCAACGTTGTACAAATCTCGTTTTCAAGTAAGCACGGGCAGTGAAAACAAACATGCATGAACATGGAGACCTAGGTAAGATATCGCCGAAAGTGAAAGGTCGTTAATAAAAATTAGTTTTTTACCCATCTCCAGGTGACTTTTCCTAAATATTACTGGAGGAAGATAAAGTTAAAATTCCAACATAAGCCATTCATGGGATGGTTTGAGTTTGGATTCATTCTTTCAAAATCAACGAACGTGATAGGACGGCCTAACGTAAAATCCCAGTAGGAGGACCGCGCGAGGGTTCCTGAAACTCGCTGCCTGACCTTTCACTTTCAGGCTCAATAGTAAAACATTTGAAAAATGCCTGATTACTGCCTGCAGCTTAGCCGGACAAGTGGGCCTGGTAATATCCTAGCAATTGCTTGGTGGTTTCTTTGCAATTTACTCCAACTTATCGCAGTGACCAGGAAATAGAAAGGAAAATAACTATCATTAGATTTACTTTTGTCGCCGTGAATAATTGCTATAAAATGTTGATGTCATTTTCCATATTCCATGTAATGTTTGTAATTTTATTTTGTCACGCCAAAACATCAGTTTCAAAGTCTTTGTACGAATTTGGTTGAGACTGGTCAACAACTGGTGTCCATTACAGGACCGTTAAGTTCACAAAAACAACAAAATGCGCTGTTTCATCACATTTGGAAAGTACAGATTTGTGGAATTTCAAATGCATAAATTACGCTGTTTACAGTGCATTTGGAAAGTATAGATTTGTCGTTCCGAATCCACGCTTTTGTTTACAAATAAGAAAGTTCCACTGTTCTAACAATATTTTGACATCATTGCAATGGCTTAAGAATAAGTAACCCTTTGACATTCGGCAACCGCTCAGGATGCATATGATGGAGTGCAAAACGGACAAAAAACAAACTGCACCACCTACATTTCAGGGCTTGTTAGCCCCGAAAACCCCATGCCCCCAGTTGCAAGGAGTCGTTGCTAATTGAGAACAATGATATCAGGTTCAATGGAATCTCCATACTCTACTGGACAACTAAGGGAGCTGATACTGTGGTGTCATCTAGGAAAGACATTGTTCAGTGTTTACGTATTTGCGATTGCTCAACTGCTTGCTTATTTCTATGGACATGAATCATCCAAACAAATAAGGAAAAACAAGGAAATGAACTCCAATTAACTCGACCAAAATACAGGAATTTTTTATGTACAGACCAATGTAACATGGAGACTTCTTCCAAGGATGACATCACAGTTTTGCTCGTGAACATGGAAATCTCAATAGCTTTAAAACGAAAAATCATTTTAATTAATTAGGGAAACAACTCTTGACAATAAGCATAACTGAGACACAAAGGTGTAGGTTGAATGTATGTATTTAGCCAAACTAATTTAACTACCCTTAAACGGATGTAGGATGTAAAACGAAACATACTATCTAACTACGGTTGGCTAAAGAACAAAAACTGTGTTTCCTCGAAACTCAAAACCTGCAGAATTCTGAATACACACCTTTTAAAGATTAATCGAGGCTTTTAGTTACTTTTTTTCAAGTAAGATATTCAAGGACTACTCCACAGTCCCATTTTAATTAATTTGCCAATGGTTTAACCTACCTACCATGCAAGCAATACATGTATCAATCAATAAACTCTGATTAAATGTCCTCAAACGTACTTATGCATTCGTAAACTATACTACATTGCCGATATTGTTAATGATTAATGTACAATTATCGTGGAAATCACTCAGAAGCGTCGGTGCATGGAATGAATTAGCCACCTGATGGTAACCTGAGGTACATGGCGCCAGTCCAGTCACGGGCGTATCCGGGGGGAAAGGGGCACGTGCCCCCCATTCCCGGTGCCCCCCCCTGGAAAAAACGGATGAATGGATATTGAACAAGGCTAGCAAAGGCTTGCCCCAAAACCACACCACTAAAAGCTGGTGCCCCTCCCTCAAGATGCTGGTGCCCCCCTTGTGGCCCTACTAATAAAATTCTAGCTACGCCAGTGCGCCAGTCATCAGTAAAAACAGCAGCAAGTTCTTGAGCTGATCTAAGCACCACTGTACGTGACCGGATGCGGCGATCAAGTATATCCCATACGAGTTTGAGTACCAAGTACAAGTACTACAAGACACTGATACTCAATGGGGCTGAGGTCTTTACTGAAGGAAGGCTATGGTACGAGTTCAATTTGATTGTCGTCAAGATACTTTGTAACCACTCTAGCGGCATGACGTCGCGCATTGTCATGTTGAAACAGGGTTATATTTGGGTGTCCATTCAGAAATGGCCTCACTACTGGCTCTAACACTTCATCCCAGCAGGTCAGTATATAAGGCCATTTGCTGTGTTACCAGTCCAGACGAGGATGCTGCCCCCCATCTGTCGTGATCTACGACATAACAGTCAAAGAATCGCTCACAACGACAAAGTTAAACTCGAACGCTTCCGTCATAATAGCTTGTACGGAAACTTGATTCATTGGAGAATCTGCCTCCAGCAGAAGCACCCCTTCAGTGGTTGGAAAGAGCCATTTTAGTCGGGAGTGTTCATTTTGTTGGTAACAATGCTACTGTAACGCGTGCATTTCATAGTCGTTGGTGAACTAGTGAGGTTCATTTCGGTCAAACTGACTCAATCGTGACATTCTCGTATTTAGTCCGATATATCGGTTTTGGTCTCCATGAACCATTAGCCATCACAAGAACATCTCAAATGCTATGCAGCATAGCAAACATCCATGTTGGTATTACAGCTATTTAAAATTGATCACCACAGCATGAGATATACACTCTTAAAAAGTATTTTATCAACTTGCGATATTTTTTGGCTTGAAACATGGGTGTAAATCCCGGGGGTGGAGGATGTAACGTTTTAGTGTTGAGTAGAAAATAAAGGGGATTTATGGAGGCGAAAAGTGGCCATCTGCTTTTCTGCTATCAGAATGGTAGAAAAGTAGATTTCATGTTCTGGTAACTTGCAATTTCGACTTTTCGTCTTCCATAGGGGGTTGTGAAGACTTTTTTCCGACTCCAATTGCTACAAATATCCCTCAAAGAGGGAAAACAATGAAAGCACCACAAACATGGCATATGTAAGATTTTGCAGTGAATGTCCATTTTGATCATAGGCTAGACATAGCCCCCTACATACCGTCATTTGATGTCCCCTTGCTTTTCAAATTTCCTGGCCCAGCAAGTCATCCCCCATCCCCATTCGTCACCCCATCCCCTAATTTCTGGCACAATTTTACGTACAAATTCACTATTGGCTTACAACATGCTAGAGTAGCAAAGAATGGATAAAAGTATGAAATATCTCCAAGTCCCCCATTGGCAAAGGCCTTTGACCCATTAGCATACATTCTTGCCAGTAACCTGATATCGGAAAATACTATGCACTTTAAAAGTTCTCCTTATGAAATATGAAGCCGAACTTCTGGCAGTGTTTATTGATGATCCTTCCCAAAGCCGGCGAACCGCAGAAGAACACCGACACTCTTCCCTTACCCTCCTCTTGAATTTCCTTGAAGAGCTGGAATATAAAACCAGATAACGAAAACACGTTTTCTAAATATTCCACGTTAAAGTATGGATATTAATTCTTATATTTGCCTACATTATTATTTACGATCCATAAAATATTTCGAGATTCAAAGTCAAAGGCGCGAAATTTTGTGCCGTAAAAGAATGACACATGGATTAGTCAGTTATGTTACCCAATGAGTTCCAAGTTTATAATATAATTAACTCTTGTAATTTTACGCCATGCTGGGATGTTAGAAAGTTACCGTAGCAGTGGAACACTGCGCACATTTGCCATCCAAACTTGATTTCCAACCCTTGCTCAATTCAAAAAAAATCCCAACTCACCCCACCCGGCCAAAAACACGTTCGTAAAAGGGATG